ATGATCACCAGAAGCTCTTCATCTTAGGCCCTTCCATTGCTCCTTTCTATTGCAATCTTCTATAACTTTCTTTTCCTGGTTCTCTTTCATTCACTCTCTCTGGCTTTATCCCCCAGTCATTCATTCGCTCATTCCCTCTCTTTCATTCATAAAATAATCCTATTTCTTTCTCTTACATGTTCTATCGTTCTCATTCTCTCCCTTTCTCTCTCTTGTTCATTTTTTTCTTTCTTTCTCTCATTCACATATTCATCCTCCTTCGTTCCGTTTTTGTCTTGCTGCGAGACCACCTGCCACATTCCTTTCTCGACCTGCTCTGCCACAACCAAAAAAATGAGCTTTGGTGAAATATCAGTCGAGTCGCCGTCAGAATAACAGCAGCGCCGACTCAAGGCTTTTTCTGGAATTACAGTTTGGTCGTGTGCCCGGCTGGGCTTCACTTGTAACGCGAAATAACGTATTTCGTTATTAACGTTTTCACTTATATCATTATTGATATCATGATCGTGATAAGCGTCAACATTATTTCGCCGTTGTTATTGCTATAGTTAATGCAACGAAAAGTTTAGAAAGAGGCTGGGAATTATCTTACGCTGACACCTGAAGTCGCCCGGGAGGTCCCAGGCACCGTCCCTGCAGGGTGCCACTCCTCCAGGCGCCGTGCCCGGGGGAAGGACGTATCCTTGGTGGCACTCCACTCGCAGTTCGTCGTCGTCGGTGCGGGTAAAGCTAGCCTGCGCGTCCGGGAACGAAGGCTCAGGGCACTCTCTCACCTCGCAGTTCGTGCCCCTGTACCCAGGGCTGCACTGGCACTGGCTCGGGGCTATGCAGGTGCCTCCATTCTGGCACCCATTTATGCAAGTAGCTGAAGAACAATAGGGCTTACACTGTGGTTCTCTTTCTCTGATTTTATTTGATTATAGCTTCTTTAACAGATATCTTTTTTGTATCCTATTATTTCACGAAGGTGACAGTCATAAAAAAAAAAAAAATTGTTAAAACTTTTCTTTTACACATGACAATATTCAACATTTTTTTGAACCTTGTAAGTATTTTGACGATATCTAAAAGACATCATTAACTATTTTGAATTTCGGGAAAAGAGCGGGAAGCCTTGATGACGTCAGCAGAGGTCCTCCGTCTCCTCAGTCCCGTAACAACATTCACTTCATCGCTCTTTCATTGATTATCTCTCTTGCTTGTGATTTTTCTCTGCCTTTCATTCACTGCTCTATTCACTCACTCGCTTCCTTTTCAATTTTCTTTTCTCTTACTCTCTCCTTTCTCTCTCTTTGTCAATTTCTTTCTCTTTCTCATTCCCTTATTCATTCATCCTACTTTCCGCTTTTTGTGCGTCTGGCGCCCCTGGATCACATGAATACCTGTCGCCGTCCGGAATCTAAATTTCGTCCTAAAAAGCCCGATGAAATATCAGGTGATACAGCATCAGACTAACAACACCTGATGTGACGGCATCGTTTCGTCCTCATGGGCGATTTCCAACAAAACTACTCATCTCCTATATGAATACCATCGTTATAAATAGCTTTCTTAATATTACCATGTTCAGTTATTATTATGATCACAATTGTAATCGTCAGTATTATCACCATTTTACCCATAACTCCTCCCCATAGCACCCAGTGGATCTAGAAAGACATGTAGCAACACTTCCATTAGACTGTTAAACCAAAAAATGAATCTGCCTTTTCCTATAGTATTCTAGTGGTAGTTTTTAGAGTATTCTATTTAATGGTGTGGAATATCTTGTTTGCATTAATGAAAACGAGGGATTTTTGTGTCATTTCAGACAGGTATAACAACATCGAGTAGATTATACAAATTGTTTATCTAGCCATTTCTGGAATCTCATGGTGTCATTTACCGCCGCCCTTTGTGACCTTTCATTAATATATGCAATGCAAAGTAATATACTTCTTTAATACGTATTTTTGATAGAAATTCTTTGTGCTGGGGCATGCCAAACCATCAGTAAAATATCCTTAAAGATGCTTGTTGTATGAGGACAAGAAGCCACTGAAACAACTAAAGCCTTGATACACTCTTCTGTGCATCAACGTGCTCTATCACCTATGCCAATAGATAACTAAATGAATAAATGTGGAGTAAATGTATCTTAGGACATAATGCTCCATGATTTTGACTCCGCCATGTCTACCCCACCCCCCCAGCACCCAACCCACTCGCATTCAAAAGACATGCATCACTTACGATTCTAATACTTTCTGGATGTCTCTTCTACGACTGTGTTCACTAGGCTGAAGAACAGAGAAACCCTATTAATATTTACGATTCACAACGAGAAGTGAGTATATGAATGGGTAAACCTATTTGTTAATACTGTGTTTTGCTTGTTATTTTTCAATAATTAATTCCCTTATGGAACATTCTTTAACATTTTAACTTTGTCTCTTTCATTCATTCACTTTCTGTATCTCTCACTCCTCACTCATTTATTCATTCTTCTATTCCTTCTCTCTCATTTTTTCACTTCCACTCTCCCTCATTTAATATACCCATCACTCACTCCTTCCCGTTTTCTCTCTTTGTTCATTCCTTTCTTTCTCTCATTCACTCGTTCATTCATGTCCCTTCTTTCACCTAATAGTGCAGCATCTGGATTTCTTAACCGAGTCTACTAGGATTCCACTCTAAATTCGCTCTATTGCATCTCCGTCGCAACATAGATCACGTCCAAAGAAAATTATGAAATGTCAGTCGATTCGGCGTTGGCCGCCATCAAGGCTTCCTGATTTTATCTAGAATTCCAGTTAGATTTTGCGGCCAGGTGGGCTTCGCTGGCGATTTCCGTCAAAACTACTGGAAACGTAGCTGTTTACCATTTTAAGTTTAATTCATAATATTTTCATAATTAATGCTAAATTGTTGAATTGTAATCAATATCATGTCCATTACAATTGCCACGATCAATTTGATCACATCATCATCATCATCATAACCATTACTATCGTCATTCTGTTGCTGTAGCTTTTTGATGGAAAAATCCTGAGAGAAGCTGGGTACTATCTTGGTGACTTACGCTGACACCTGAAGTCGTCCGGGAGGTCCCAGACACCGTCCCTGCAGGGTGCCACTCCTCCAGGCGCCGTGCCCGGGGGAAGGACGTATCCTTGGTGGCACTCCACTCGCAGTTCGTCGTCGTCGGTGCGGGTAAAGCTAGCCTGCGCGTCCGGGAACGAAGGCTCGGGGCACTCTCTCACCTCGCAGTTCGTGCCCCTGTACCCAGGGCTGCACTGGCACTGCCTCGGGGCTATGCAAGTGCCACCATTCTGGCACCCATCTCTGCAGTTGGCTGAAAAGCAGATATATCTCAGTCTTCATCGAGTCGAGCAAATCCCCTTTGCTGCACAATATACGCATGAGTGACAAATGCGGTGAAATAACTGGACACTTACGGACGCAGTCAGGAGCGGACTGGCGCCAAGGTTGTCCGTTGTGCATAAACTGCCCCGTCTTCTGGTTGCACGTGAGGTAAATCTTGCGTTTGCCTTGAAGCTTGTATCCTGAATTGCATGCGAGCCTGCAGCCGCTGCAGAGAAACACAGGGAAGAGGCTTAAAAGGATTTTTCGTTTTTTATTTTATAACAATTTCTATCATTTCATTTCCATAACCATTGATTTGGTCCATGAACAGGATCGCTGTCATGCCATTACGTTATTACTTCTAATACTCAATATTTTTCAGGATCATGACCATTATATTTATTGCCATTGTTGCTACCTCTGCCACATAATCACTATATTTGTTGTGATCTTTGTTATTTTATTCTGGTTGTTGATGCTATTGCTCTTCCTATTGTTGTTCTTATTGTCATCATCATCGTCATTATTACTGTTATTATCTTTATTATTGTTACTATCATCATCATCGTCATTATTAATACCACTTTTATAATTATCCTTATTATCATTACCATTATCATTATTTTTAATGGTAGTAGTACTACTACCATTACTATTATTGTTATTATCATTATTATTCTCACCTTCATAAGCATCATCATTATTATGATGTTTTTTATTATTATTATTGTTGTTACCATCAGCATCAAGATTCTTGTTCTTGTTGTTAGCATTATGATTATGATTATTGTCGTAGTTGTCATCATTATATCATAATCATCATCATCACTCTTGTTATCATAATTGATATCATTATCAATACCAGTATTAGTTTTACCATTACCAAACATGCAAATTAATGAAGTCTGTGCTTAAAAGTAATAGAATTTTTCATAAAACGCCGATTTGAACGTCATTGTAGTTATAGCATTGAATATTTTCTTCTTGGGACCGACAAAAAAGGTAGAAAGATATATGAATAAAAATGAGAGGTACTGATCTCTGATAAATAGTCTGGATATTTCTTTCCCATGTAACATATCCCTGAACAAAATGTTATACCTTGACAGTTTTAAAACCTCTTCAGCGTGCCTTGTCTTTACAAAGGTCCAAAGTTTCCGCCTTAGAGAATGCCTTGAACATCATTTACCCAATCACATCAAGAAAAAGAAGAAGAAGAAGAAGAAGAAGAAGAAAAACAATACTCACCTGAACGTGCACTCGATGCGTCCGTTGTTCACCTTGCCTGCCTGGTCCGCAGCGCACTCTGGGGAGACAGGCGCAAGTAACGCAAATAAGCGCTGAATGTTGAAGGATTGTCCTTACTAACTAAATCAGGTTAGAAACTTTTCACATATACAAATGGAGGGCTTGAGAGAGGGAAAAAAATCCTGTTATATCCATGACTTTGGGGAGTACGAATTGTAGGAGGTACATGGAGAAAGAGAGTGGAGGGAGGGAGAGAAGGAGGGGAGAGGGAGGGAGAGAGGGGTGGAAAGAGGGAGAGAAAGAGAGATACATGGAGGGAGAGAGGGGGAGAGAAAGAGAGAGAGAAAGAGGGTGAGATTAACTGAAAGAGAGAGATGGGGGAGGGAGGATAAAATGGAAGATAAAGAGAGAGTGATAGATAAATAGATAAAGAGAGAGAGAGAACTTTAGGGGATCCAGTTTCATGGCTGTAGTGCATTAACCTCAACATATCCATGCTTATGTTACAGATGAGGGTTTAAAGCAACAAAACATTCACTATGGGCAAGGTGTTCTTTACTCCAATTCATAACAAGGAAACTCGCAAAAACAACTCTTCGTCCAAGCTGTTATCCAGTCACATGGACGTTCAAGTCATGAATGTGGACTGAGATATATATATATAAAAAAAAAAAAAAAAAAACATTTTGTCATTTCATTTATACATTTAATTTGCATATAAGAATGAATAAACGCCATCTGGTAATTCTTGTGATCGACGTACGCCTAAAATACCTCGTCTACAGCAAGCTCTGACCAACCTAACAGTCAGAGAGAAGGTCACTATTACGCCCATCAGATACAGCAATCGTCTATTCCAGGGACCGCATGACTAAATGAGGAAGGCGGGTAAGCTTAAGGCCCTATCACACTAGCACTATTTCCGTCATTTTTTTTTTTTTTTTTTTTTTTCGTTTCCTAATGAACTCCGTATGAAAATCATGTAAACAAACATGGCGCTATCGGAGCGAGGTCCCGGGAATCACACGAATATTCTCATACATATTACTTAATTTTAAAGAAATATGATGATGTATATTGTATATACGAATGTTCTAAGTTATTAGCTTATGTTTACATTCACTCATCCTATCTAATTTATTAATAGCACAAGATGAACACGGAAATTAGTCATACGGAAACTTGGTCTGGGAGGCGTTCCGTTTGTAGACGATCCTTGCGGAAAGCCTCAAATTCAGACGGAACCCCAGAAACTGACGGAAAAAGTGCTTGTGTGATAGGGACTTTAGTCTACCCAACTTAAAATATTACGGCCAAGGTATCTCGGGTATATTATCTTATTCAAATAGCACTATTGTGGGAAAAAAAATCCATGCTGTAAGTGTATTCAATAAATTTTAAGTGATAGTTATAATGGTCCGAGCCAGTAGGCGTAAACATAATAGCTTAATATACTCATATAAGTTTGAAAGCGCGACCACATCATGCAACGAACGATCGTGAATATAATCTAATATTTTCGTAATAAATTTCATTTCTTCGCTCTATGGTTTCCATGTATTATAAAAGTTTTTTTTTTTATCAAGACCTATTTCCGTGTAGAGAAAACGTCTGAATATCCGGCTAGCGCTACTACCTAGCCGGATAAAATCACGTTCTTGCCCAAGCACTTTTTCCCAGTTTCAGTACTTGCCGTGTCACTTACCAACGGGTTGTACTCTTCAAGCAAGAAGGTATCGAGCCGTACGGAGGAAGCTATCATTGCCCTGTTAGTGCAGGCAGAGGGGCTCTGGAAGTCCAAATTAGAGCTTTTACAGAAAGAGAGGGAGAGGGAAATGGAGAGGGGGGGGTGGAGGTAGATGGAGAGAGAGGAGAGATTGGCATATAGTTTACACGAAACACTGCTTATCGTGACAGATGTACAAAGTAGGAACGACAAAGAATTTTTAGAGGGCGCCGCCGTCAAAGCGAGAGACCGTTCGCTCGCAGACTTCTGTAGTGCCCGCGAAAATGGCTCTTCATGGAGGGCGAACGCAAAGGGAACATTACTGACAGGGATTCCACAAGGCTCATATCCTCGTACGACCTCTAGACGATGGTGGTTTATGAGGGTTGATGTTACTGAATGCCCGCAACGGCATATGTCGGAAGTTACTCTAGACACTATCATTCATCACTGTTACACTGGCCTGCGATTCTCCATATGCTGGAAGCCAACAAAGAAACGCAACTCCATTTCTTACGATGTACATATTGATTATAAAGCAGTCATTCGAAATCTGAAATTTAGTTTGCAATAATCAATAATGATAATTTTGGGTGCTGAAGGCATACATATAAAAAAGAATGAGCTTCATCTTCATGATGATAATAATAACCATAATAGAAAGGATAACAATAACAATAACATTAACCCTGATCATAAACCGAAACTGACCCTTCAGCCTCCATCTCCCATCCCCAAAGAGCCATTCACCTGCTCCTTGGCACTCCTTTCTTCAATCCCTCTGGCACTGGGGTAGGCCTATGGGCCATGTGCTAAACTTGAGATTTAAGTCTTGCGGAGGAGGGGGGTGAGTGTGAGTTGTGAGTAGAAGAGGTACGTATGCGAGGGACATGTGTTTCCTTTTACTAGTAAGGGAGAGACATGTACTTCCTTTATTGAGTCAGTGAGAGACATGTATTCCCTTCGTGAGTGAGGGAGAGACATGTGCTTCCTTTCACGAGTGAGGGAGAGACATGTGCTTCCTTTCACGAGTGAGGGAGAGACATGTGCTTCCTTTCACGAGTGAGGGAGAGACATGTGCTTCCTTTCACGAGTGAGGGAGAGACATGTGCTTCCTTTCACGCACGAGTGGGAGAGACATGACGTGTGCTTCCTTTCACGAGTGAGGGAGAGACATGTGCTTCCTTTCACGAGTGAGGGAGAGTGACGTGAGGGAGAGACATGTGCTTCCTTTCACGAGTGAGGAGAGACATGTGCTTCTTTCACGAGTGAGGAGAGACATGTGCTTCCTTTCACGACATGTGCTTCCTTTGAGGGAGAGACATGTGCTTGAGTGAGAGACAGAGTGAGGAGATGTGAGTGCATGTGCTTCCTTCACGAGTGAGGAGGCATGTGCTTCCTTTCACGAGTGAGGGAGAGACATGTGCTTCCTTTCACGAGTGAGGGAGAGACATGTGCTTCCTTTCACGAGAGGGAGAGACACGAGTGTGCTTCCTTTCACGAGTGAGGGAGAGACATGTCTTCCTTTCACGAGTGAGGGAGAGACATGTGCTTCCTTTCACGAGTGAGGGAGAGACTGCTTCCTTTCACGAGTGAGGGAGAGACGTGTGCTTCCTTTCACGAGTGAGGGAGAGACATGTGTTCCTTTCACGAGCATGTGCTTCCTTTCACGAGTGAGGGAGAGACATGTGCTTCCTTTCACGAGTGAGGAGAGACATGTGCTTCCTTTCACGAGTGAGGAGAGACATTGCTTCCTTTCACGAGTGAGAGGAGAGACATGTGCTTCCTTTCACGAGTGAGGAGAGACATGTGCTTCCTTTCACGAGTGAGGGAGAGACTGTGCTTCCTTTCACGAGTGAGGAGAGACATGTGCTTCCTTTCACGAGTGAGGAGAGACATGTGCTTCCTTTCACGAGTGAGGGAGAGACATGTGCTTCCTTTCACGAGTGAGGGAGAGACATGTGCTTCCTTTCACGAGTGAGGGAGAGACATGTGCTTCCTTTCAGAGTGAGGGAGAGACCTTTCACGAGTGAGGGAGAGACATGTGCTTCCTTTCACGAGTGAGGGAGAGACATGTGCTTTTCCCTTTCACGAGTGAGGGAGAGACATGTGCTTCCTTTCACGAGTGAGGAGAGACATGTGCTTCTTTCACGAGTGAGGGAGAGACGTGTGCTTCCTTTCACGAGTGAGAGGACGAGTGAGGAGAGACATGTGCTTCCTTTCACGAGTGAGGGAGAGACATGTGCTTCCTTTCACGAGTGAGGGAGAGACATGTGCTTCCTTTCACGAGTGAGGGAGAGACATGTGCTTCCTTTCACGAGTGAGGGAGAGACATGTGCTTCATGAGTGAGGGAGAGACGTGTGCTTCCTTTCACGAGTGAGGGAGAGACATGTGCTTCCTTTCACGAGTGAGGAGGGAGAGACATGTGCTTCCTTTCACGAGTGAGGGAGAGACATGTGCTTCCTTTCACGAGTGAGGGAGAGACGTGTGCTTCCTTTCACGAGTGAGGGAGAGACATGTGCTTCCTTTCACGAGTGAGGGAGAGACATGTGCTTCTTTCATGAGTGAGGTGTGCTTCCTTTCACGAGTGAGGGAGAGACATGTGCTTGCTTTCATGAGTGAGGGAGAGACATGTGCTTCCTTTCACGAGTGAGGAGGGAGAGACATGTGCTTCCTTTCACGCATGTGCTTCCTTTCACGAGTGAGGAGAGAGACATGTGCTTCCTTTCACGAGTGAGGGAGAGACATGTGCTTCCTTTCACGAGTGAGGGAGAGACATGTGCTTCCTTTCACGAGTGAGGAGGGAGAGACATGTGCTTCCTTTCACGAGTGAGGGAGAGACATGTGCTTCTTTCACGAGTGAGGGAGAGACATGTGCTTCTTTCACGTGAGGGAGAGACTTCCTTTCACGAGTGAGGGAGAGACATGTGCTTCCTTTCACGAGTGAGGAGGGAGAGACATGTGCTTCCTTTCACGAGTGAGGGAGAGACATGTGCTTGCTTTCATGAGTGAGGGAGAGACATGTGCTTCCTTTCACGAGTGAGGGAGAGACACGATGTGCTTGCTTTCACGAGTGAGGGAGAGACGTGTGCTTCCTTTCACGAGTGAGGGAGAGACATGTGCTTCCTTTCACGAGTGAGGGAGAGACATGTGCTTCCTTTCACGAGTGAGGAGAGAGTGCTTCCTTTCACGAGTGAGGGAGAGACATGTGCTTCCTTTCACGAGTGAGGGAGAGACATGTGCTTCCTTTCACGAGTGAGGAGGGAGACATGTGCTTCCTTTCACGAGTGAGGGAGAGACATGTGCTTCCTTTCACGAGTGAGGGAGAGACATGTGCTTCCTTTCACGAGTGAGGGAGAGATGTGCTTCCTTTCACGAGTGAGGAGGAGAGACATGTGCTTTTTTGGAGAGTGACGAGTGAGGAGAGACATGTGCTTCCTTTCACACGAGTGAGGGAGAGACATGTGCTTCTTTCACGAGTGAGGAGAGACATGTGCTTCTTTTCACGAGTGAGGGAGAGACATGTGCTTCCTTTCACGAGTGAGGAGGGAGAGACATGTGCTTCCTTTCACGAGTGAGGGAGAGACATGTGCTTCCTTTCACGAGTGAGGAGGGAGAGACATGTGCTTCTTTTCACGAGTGAGGGAGAGTGCACGAGTGAGGAGAGACATGTGCTTCCTTTCACGAGTGAGGGAGAGACGTGTGCTTCCTTTCACGAGTGAGGGAGAGACGTGTGCTTCCTTTCACGAGTGAGGGAGAGACGACACGAGTGACTTCCTTTCACGAGTGAGGGAGAGACTGTGCTTCCTTTCACGAGTGAGGGAGAGACATGTGCTTCCTTTCACGAGTGAGGAGGGAGAGACATGTGCTTCCTTTCACGAGTGTGAGTGGACATGTGCTTCCTTTCACGAGTGAGGAGAGACATGTGCTTCCTTTCACGAGTGAGGGAGAGACATGTGCTTCCTTTCACGAGTGAGGAGGGAGAGACATGTGCTTCCTTTCACGAGTGAGGGAGACGTGTGCTTCACGAGTGAGGGAGAGACATGTGCTTCCTTTCACGAACGAGTGAGGAGAGACATGTGTGCTTCCTTTCACGAGTGAGGGAGAGACATGTGCTTCCTTTCACGAGTGTGCTTCCTTTCACGAGTGGAGGAGAGACGTGTGCTTCCTTTCACGAGTGAGGGAGAGACGTGTGCTTCCTTTCACGAGTGAGGGAGAGACGTGTGCTTCCTTTCACGAGTGAGGGAGAGACGTGTGCTTCCTTTCACGAGTGAGGGAGAGACGTGTGCTTGCTTTCATGAGTGAAATGTGTGAAATGCGCGGGTAGGCCCACCTTTCTAAACCACAGATGTGCTCGAACGTCCTGTTTATATCGAATGTTGTGGTCGCGCTCGTCCTATTCACACGGTAAACTTGCAATCGATTTGCGTCCACCTTCCGGCGACGTGCGTCTTGGACAAGCGGTTTTATTTCCACGAAAAACGCGCGTCTGACCTGCGTGTTCGTCGCGTGCTCCCAGCGTCGGGCGCAAGGGCAACGTGCTCAAAATTTCGCAAGAAGAACCTGCGTGGCCCCTGTGTTCCTTGGCGTGTCTTGCCGTAGAAACGCCGTTGGTTATATGGCCGGCTGTGAACGAGGCATTAGGTCTCACTAAAGGCCTGACGACGCGGTGCAGCGTGTCGGTTTCCCTCTCTTGATGGTATTAAGGTTATTATGTGCTTCAGCCAAGGGTTAAACAAAATATATTAAACTGGTTAACTTACTTCAATTTGTTACAATGGACATTCTTTTCTGTGGCATACTGTCTGTTTATTTGCTTCTAAATTACCCACTGTGTGCAAGGAATGGCCGGGGTTCCCATCCACTGGCGGCGCGCGGGATTGAACGCAGGTCAGCAAGATTGCTAGACGAGGACGTTACCGCTGCATCACTCGGCTCTCAATTTGATTTATCATAATTCAATGTTTTATACACATCTGTAACATAGACGCACAGAAGAGCTGAATGCTACAGAAAGCTCTTATATATCACATGCACACATCACACCAGCTATTTCATACCATTTTCTTAGCAGCTATTTAATAGTCAAGTAAAAATACTCACCCTTGTATGTTGAGCCTGCAGCCGACATCCAGATCGCACTGTAATGAAAGGAAAGAATATTATGAAACAAACTGATTTGTATTTCCTTTTCATATTCTTCTATGGTCAATACTTATTATAATTTAGAGAGATTCTGAATGGATAGAGTATCCTGTCGATTAATAGTGGCTATCGGTCATATTGTGATTATCAGCATCATTCTTATGATTATAGTATGATTATCATGATTCTTGTTACTAGCATTATTACCATTGCCATTATCATCATTATCATTACTACCATTATCATTCCAATTATTATTATCTCCGCCAAGGAGATTACATTTTTGGTAGCGTTGGTTAGTTTTTTTCGTTGGTTAGTTGGTTAGCAGAATAACTCACAAAGTTATGAACAGATTTTTATGATTTTTTACTAGAGGTAAAAAGTTTGGACGCCATTAAACTTTGATGGTGATCCGGATCCAGGATTTTTTAAGGATTCATTAGCATTGCGAGATGGAGAAACACGTACGTGTACTTGAGAAAGAGGTGAATAATCTTATTGCATCAATGACCCTATTGCCCCGGCGGAGGTATGCGCTCTCTGAGTGCTTATAGTTGGTGTTAATATTATAGTTATTATTATAACTGTAATCAGGATCATCCTTATTATTACTAATTTTATCATTCTTATTCTTATCATCATTACTATTATCACCATCATCATTAGTGCCAATGCTAACAAGAAGTGAAAATGGTACATTTTTGATAAAGAGCTTACTCATATTAATAAAAGTAGTTTGTATGGTAGCATATGTCAGCTTTGAATTATCCCATGGAGGAGCCGCCTCGTCGAGGGATGAGACAAAATGGCTCCCTGATGCAACAAGGCCAATGAGAGGGTTTATTCATTCCATCTTAAGAATTCTTCTATGAGACAAGATTCTAGGAGATGAAAGATGTTGCAAGCTGTGCATAGCAGTTAGCAGGATGCAGCATGCTTTAATCCTGCCCTATTTTGGTTATGCAACTTAATTTCAACCTATTCACGTTAAACAGCTGGCTGTACATTGCCAGTGACCAGCAGGCAGTTCGCAGTTTGTTTTGCACGGGTCCCACAGTTTCCATAAGTACTGGATGTGTACTTGTACTTCTTCACTGTCTTTGTTACTGTTGGGATAAGCACCAGCATCCAATTTCCCATGTTGAGTTAGTAGCTAAATGTTTCTCTGGTTAAAGAAATATCTTACTTCCCTTTGAAAAAAAAGAAGCCTATATTCTCTCTGGAACCTTGGTTAACAATGGTAAGCCACATGGTGTAGTAGTGATGGTATGCTGAGATATCTCCTGTTAGCCTCTCCCTCTGCCACTTCCCTCCACATGGCCAAGATATACGAGACTTGGGCAACCTTGCTACTAGTGGGAGAAGCCATGACAATGCTTAACAAGAGATGCACATTTACAATTCCAAACTATGTTAGTCTCAAGTAATGACTTCCATATATTCAGCCAACACCAAAACAGTCGCTCTCCCTTGTGTACAATTCAATGGAAGGATTCCTAGATATTTAGGAAGCACGGGGTCACCCGTCTTCAATTCATCTGAAAATTGCTGTCCAAATCTCCCTTGCTCAATGATATAATTATAGTTTTCCTTTGGCTTGGGAAAAAAGCCCATGGCACCACAGAATAGTTGCCTAAGAAGGACAAGAAGTTCAGGATCAGGGTGGAAAACAGTCTTGCAAACCATGAAAGCTAGATAGAAGAGCTGCCACAGGATATTCTCTTTAGTGTCAGCCTGTTTATCCCTGCATCCAGTGATACGGGAAAAGGGAAGGGGATGAAATAGTAGGTGTAATAGTTTTCACTGGCTTGTGCGAGTATACAGCAGAGAGATTAATTGGGAGGTAAAGCCACCTAGACGCAGAGGAACACTACTGGGGAATAGCTGTCTGTGGTTTTGAGGCTAGGAGAACTAACTATACTGTTTTGCCCTCACTGAAACTTTCACACACAAAGAGGAACAGAAAAAAACATCCTGCCAATTTTTAAAAGCTAAGGCTCAAGCAGAGTGACTCTACTCTCTATGCTTAAGCAAGGAGGTTAAGCCTGGGGGTTAGATCTTCACTATATGTCGAGAGTATAGCAGCACCCTTGTCCATTCAACAAGAATATGTAAACCTGATTTACATTTGCAGAAATCTGGAACTTTCCTCACAATAAAGGCCGTTCTCAGCAGTCCAGCTTTTAGATAGGCATTTGGTTGAAGGATTAAGGAAATTTTGGGTTTTCTTATTGCCATGGTTTTCCAAACTTCGAACACCCTAGAGTAAGTGGACTTAATCGGAATTGGGAAGAGGGAGACACTCGAAGAAGAGATAAATAATTTTTAGAACACTTCCAGGTACCAAGGTTTTAAGCCAACATGTATGGGTGTTTTAGCCAGCTATAATTATAGATGACAGTCCTTTTGTGGCTATCCTTCATAGATGAGGTTGATCTGTTGCCTAGAGAGAGAGAGAGAGAGTACAAGAGCCAAGGGGTATTTTGGGGGTTGAGAGGGACCCTAAATCCCTCACTTGATTTTTGTAGGGGATCTCCTGGGACACCTTTTTAGTGAGGGTAGACATGCTGAAACCCGGCAGTAATGGAGCTATTCAGTGTTTCGTCTGAAAAGTCAGCACCCTCGGATGCATAAAAAAATGGGGGTAGGGGAAACTAGAATAGCAATAACTTTTGAACTAAACACCATATAGTCATGTATGACCACTCATTTTGTAGTTTAGGAGGTAAGCTACAAGATGAATGTAAGCATGACTACTCAAACCAAAGGTCAAGGTCACCAGAGGTCAAACAATGGTGAAATTTAACACCAGTCTCAAATATAGGGCCTTTTGACAGGGCAGATACCAACAAAGTTTTAAAAACTAGTATGGACCTGCACTGATATACATTAACCCTTTCAGGTCTCTTGATATTGGTGCTCCATGTCATAAAAATGCTTTAACAATTCATGGTTTTCAGCTTCCATCACACGATATTCTTCGACTGAAATGTTAAATTCTGGTCATGTTTTTATCTTGTTTGCTATTGGCAATGGTGCAAATGCCCATTTAATTCATAATATATTTGTCAAGGGTGTAGCTAATGGTAAGGGTGGGGCAGGAGGCACATGCCCCATGGGCATTACGAAAATGTGTATTTCATGCAAGTATTGGCCAAAAATTTGTAAAATGCTGTACTCCAAATGATATATTACACCCCCATCACCAATAAGAACTAGCTATGTCTCTGTTTAGAAGGGAACTGCAACACATATTTGTTTAATAATGGTAGAGTAAGCTTAAACGCCAATTGGACAATCTCTCCCCATCGGTATGAAAACACATGAAATATATTGGACAGTATTATATTTCTAACCACCACTTTTCCCATAAGCTTCTTTTCCCATAAGTTACGCAAAAGATCATGCCCCTAGAGATACGTGAAGACCTGTTGTGGTTTGAAGCAAAGTCCGTTAATCTGTATGAAACGTACCGCACTGAAAGATTTGTTACAAAGGACCTCTCCTTTATACCAAATCTTTCAGTGCGGAAAGGTTCATACAGATTAGCAAACTTTGCTTTTTGCCTTATTTGACACAATCATCATCAGGGGGCTAACGCCGACGGGGGCGCATAGCCGCATCCTCGACCCATCTCGAGCTCCTCACGACAGGTTTGATCGATCTGCCCAAGCCACAAATTCCTAGGTCGCCCCACAGGCCTCGTCCACCCAGGGTTGTCTCTTGCAGAGACAACCAGGTGAACAGGATTTTTCTGTGGGAAGCGAGCCAGGTGGCCATATAGCCTGAGTTGGCGATCCCGGATTGTGCAGGTGACAGGTCCTGTGCCAGTCTCACGGTGCAGCCGTTGGTTAAACACATGGTCCCGCCAACGGTATCCCATGATCCAGCGCAAGGACGGCGCAAGAAGGCATCAAGATGAGACTCTGAGGCACAAAATAATATCCAGGTTCCACTACCGTAGAGCAAATCTGGCATTACCAGGGCCCTGAAAACCCGTAGCTTGGTCCTTCTGCACAGGTACCGGCATCTCCAAATACTCTTGTCGAGAGAGAGTTCATGACCCCTACTGCCAGGCCAATCCGTCTGCTGACTTCCTGGTCTGACAGCCCAGAGTTATGAACTACACTACCAAGGTATGTAAAGCTCTCTGTGACTTCAGTGTCCTCGCCGCAAGCACGTACTGACCGAACAGGTTCTCCTAGCAATTTGACACAATGCATAGAAATAGCTTTTAAATCAAACAAGGCGAACAAAGGAACTGGTCAAGCAAAAACAAATTGTAAGCAGCAACTAGTTGAGACAGAAAATCTCCGACGTTGCCCGCGTCCGCTACTATGACATCAAATTCCTGCTGCCATTTGATCAATTGGAAAATAGCTATATGTTTGATGAAGAGGGTCTGGTGGTTAAACCAAAAAAAAAAGTGATTTGTGTAATGAACTTGAAGAATTCTGCCAAGATGTGCATTTTTCAAGTTGATGGGCCACGAAACCTGCAGGATGTTGATAGCTCTTCATCACCTTACTGGATGTGATTCAACCAGAAGTTATTGCTATTCTAGTTTCCCCTACCCCCATTTTTTTTTGCATCCGAGGGTGCTGACTTTTCAGACGAAACACTAAATAGCTCCATTACTGCCGGGTTTCAGCATGTCTACCCTCACTAAAAAGGTGTCCCAGGAGACACCCTACAAAAATCAAGTGAGGGATTTAGGGTCCCTCTCGACCCTCAAAATACCCCTTGGCTCCAGGACTTAAGAGAGAGAGAGAGAGAGAGATGTATATATATATATATATATATATATATATATATATATATATATATATATATATGTGTGTGTGTGTGTGTGTGTGTGTGTGTATGCATATCTGTATATATATATATATATAATATATATATATATATATATATATATATATATTATATATATATATATATATATATATATATATATATATATATATATATATATATATATATATATATATATATATATATATATTATATATGTATATCTGTATATCTGTATATATATATTATATATATATATATATATATATATATATATATATATATATATATATATATATATATATATATTATATATATATATATATATATATATATATATATATATATATATATATATATATGTATATATATATATATATATATATATTATATATATATATATATATATATATATATATATATGTGTGTGTGTGTGTGTGTGTGTGTGTGTGTGTGTGTGTGTGTGTGTGTGTGTGTGTATGTATGTAGTATGTAGTATGTATGTATATAACACGAGATTAACCCATAGGCTACGGGTACATGGTCTGTCTACTTTGTTTTATTGCGAATTTTGTTGCATACAAGGAATCATTTAGTAGGCCTTACGCGAGCTCAGCTGGTTTCTCCATTTCTTGAATTCTATGTGAAACACGATTGATAAACTGGAACCACAACGGAAATGGCTGGCATGTAGCTCATGTCATCCCAGCAAGTGGCTTTAGTACACACTATCACAATCACGTTCAATGTATTCTATTTGCGAGATAACAACGTCAGTCACTATAACTCACCACAGCAAGATCAAGATGAAAAAATTCGCAGCAGCCATGATGGAGCTCGGGGTCGGAGCGCGGGAGGGTCGCGTGCACTGACCGGCCGCGGGAGGAGACGGACTGAGAGAAGAGTAGAGGGAGACAGATAGATAACGGCAACATCCGGGAAACTCGTGTATGTATGTGTGAGTGTGTTTTAACTATAAGTCTTGAATAGAACTTTCTTTCCTTTTGATATTTGTCATTTCTCTCTTGGCCTTATTTTTGAAGAGACACAAAGAAACAAAGAGAGTAAGTGCAACTGCAATTATAAATGAATAACGGTTATCAATAGTTATTAGAGTGGTCAAGTGAAGAAATAAGTGGAAATCTAGAAGTACTTCTCCCCTCCTCTCTCCCTCTTTCACCCACCTCCTACGTCTTGCCTCTCTACCTTTCCCGCTCACATTCTCACTCGGAATCTTCCTG